GATTTCCAGGTGTGTTTTGATGATAGAGGACAGAGAGGAAATTATAAAACCATCCACACAGAGTGAACGTAACAGGGTTTTACTTGATATCTTGATTGAAAGACCATATGGTACCTTCCAGGTTTTCAAAGATGTCTTACAAGAATCAGACCCTCACAATAATGATGTTCAGGAACTTGTTTGTCGAATGCACTATACTGAAAGCATTGATGAACATATCAATTGTCATGACATAAGTAAGTAGTTTCTGATTAAATGAATATAGCATTACAAGATTAGAATCATGAAATTGCAAAAACAGCCATAAGCAATTTATTTGTACACACTGTCACAAACACTCGCCTTCACAAACAAATATCAAGTCATCAATTTGTGATCTAATTTAACATATAAAATTTATGTTCTTGAAATTATCTCCTAATTGTATTTACATGTAGTAATCATTATAACAGTAAAATTTGTGTATTATATAATCCATCATTTTTATGCCCCCGCCATAGTTTTACCCTTGTCCGTCCGTATGTCTGTCCGTCCGAACGTCCCAAAGTTGGTTTCTGTTCTCTAACTTTAGTTTGCCTCAACTAAATGTTATGAAACTTATACAAAATGTTTATTACCACAAAACACAGATCAATTTGAATTTTGGTGGCGTCACTTTTACTGTTCTAGAGTTATGTCCCTTTACAAACGGAAAAATTGCTGAATTTTTCGTTTCCGTTCTCTAACTTTAGTTTGCCTCAACCAAATGTTATGAAACGTATACACAATGCTTATTACTACAAAACACAGATGGAGTTTGATATCACTTTAACCTTTCAAGAGTTATGCCCCTTCACAAATGGAAAAATTGCTGAATTTTTCGTTTCCGTAGTCTAACTTAATTTAGCCTCAACCAAATGTTATGAAACTTATACACAATGCTTATTACCACAAAATACAGATCAAGTGTGAATTTTGGAGGTGTCACTTCCTTTTACTGTTTTAGAGTTATGCCCCTTTACAAATGGAAAAATTGCTGAACTTTTCGTTTCCGTTTCCTAACTTTAGTTTGCCTCAACCAAATGTTATGAATCTTATACCCAATGCTTATTACCACAAAATTCAGATCAAGTACAATTCTGGGTAGCGTCACTTTAATGTTCTTCAGTTATGTCCTTTTATAATTTATATATATGCAAGCGGGGGTATCATCTGTGTCCCATGGACACCGATCCCCATTTATTTAAATTATAGAACTATCACTTATATGTTGTGATTCAAATAATAAGAGAAAACATGGATTCCATGATGTTTTTAAACATTTCTCACCTTATGTTACTTCTTGACAATGAAGAAGGCACCTATATTTCCTTTCAAATCTTGAGAGGTGAGGCACTAAGGTTTACTTTTATCCGTTGGTACGTCCATACGTCCCCAATTTGGATATTTACATAAGCCTCAGTATTACCACCAAACACAGATCTAGTTTGAATTTGGGTGGCGTCACATTCACGGCTCTCAAATTATGTTCATGTAAACATGGTAAAAGTTGCTGAATATACCGTTTCTGCACTCTTACCTTACTCTGCCATAACCAAATGTCCTAAAACTTATATTCAATGCTTATAACTATCAATTTCAGATCAAGATCGAATGATGGTGGTGTCGCTTTCACCGTTTTTGAGTTGTGTCCTCTTTAAATTTAGGGAAAAATTGGTGAATTTGCAGTTTCTGCACTCTTAAACTTTACTTTGCCTCGACCAATTGTTTTGATACTTATAAACAATGCTTATTACCACCAAACACAGATCAAAGGTGGAATTTGTGGGGTGTCACTTTTACCGAGTTACCCCATTGCGGTTTGTTATTGAACAATGAGAGCACTAAAACACATAAGTAATCTCTAATGAAAAACGTACAGAAACAAATCTTTCCTTGACTCTTGCATATTATTAAGTGGGGGCATCTGTGTCCCATGGACACATTCTTCTTTTATTATTATTAATCCTATTTTGCAATTTAAGAAAAAAGAGAATAAACTGATAACTATAAATATCAAGCCATTATTCTTCAATATCTGAACAAACATTTTTATAGAGTCAATACAATTTAAAGGTGAATAATAATGAATGATGAATATTTGTTAGTTATCATGGTTATACAATTCCAATTCAGCACTTAATATGCTAAACATGCTGAACTATGGGTCTTCAGTTCAGCATGTGCATATTGACATAGAATCAATAAACCAAAAACTTTGATTACACCTCCCACCCTCACCCCCAACCATCCCGGTATAAACTGCCTATTTTTTGCCAAATTCATAGTCATGTATTCCTCTCTAACATTTCTTATATTTCAGTTTTCCATAAACACAGTGTAAAGCTACAGAAGAATTACATGATGTTAGTCCATGATTCAGATTGCAAAACCGATATAGCTGACCACCTCTATGAGGCAGGTGTTTTAAATACTGAAGATATAGAGGACATTTGTAATTCTTCTCTTACTAGACAAGATAGTAATAGAATTTTATACAACAAATTATTTCGCAAAGGTGAAGTTGCATACAAACACCTTCTTGAAGCTCTGGAACATGGGCAATATGATGAACTTGCTTCTGCTTTGGAGAAGACTCAAGTTCCAGAGCATGACATGCAGATGTGTTAAATAGGTAATTACAACAAATTCTGAAATTATTGTTGGACTTGAAATAATCATGATAATGTTTCACAGTTGCTAATGCATTGACTTATGTTGCCAATAGTTCACTTACATCTGAACTTTAAAAGTTTGCCCTAAAACTTACCTAGATATAAGGAGAACGAAGAATACAAAGAAATCCAATGAATATAGAGTTACTGTTAATAAGATAGTTTAATACTGATGTTTCAATTTCAGTTCACCAGCTTATTAACAGGTAAAATTGCTTGAACTGTTTCTTTGGTTTCAAAAGAGTAATTAAATACATCATGTTTTTGTTAGTTCTGATGTGAATATTAATTTTGGAGTTATTGCCCCTGAAATATCAATTTTTAGCAAATTTCAGTTTTTTTGGTAATTATTTTGAAAAATTTAACAGATAGAGATAACTTTTTAGCAGTTAAAATGACCAGAACAATAAGATCTACTAATAAGTCTACTGGGCATTATAGTCAAATAACCTCTTATAGGAGTAATGCCTTTAAATGATGAATTTTACCCTTTTTGAATTTTTAAGTAAAATATGGTTGATACAGAGAATCGTATGATAGTAAATGTGATCGACAAATGAGTGTACATGGATGAATCATCAATTGACCCCTTCTATGAGTTATTGCCCTTGAAAGACTAATTATACACATTTTTTGCAGATACTATAATTAGATAAAGACAAAAGTGTTAAGCAAAATAAGATCTACAAATAAGTCAGTTAGATCGAAAATATCAATAGACCGCTTATAGGTGTTATAGCCCTTGAAAGATGTTTTTTATCATTTTTTTTTTCATTTTTTGCAGGAACTGTTATAGATAGAGAAATCGTATTTAGCAAAGATGTTAAACACAAATCTACAAAGTTGTTAGCATGGCCGAAATTGTCAACTGACTCCTTTTATGAGTTATTGCCCCTGAATTACCATTTTTACCTATTTTATGGATATTTTGCTAAAACAAAGATAGATAGAGAACACCAGTTGATAGAAAAAATTTCAGAACAATATGATCTACAAATCAGTCATCATGTGTGACAGTATCAATTGTCAGACCTTATAGAAGTTATTTCCCCTGATTGATGATTTTTATCTATTTCTGCATTTTTGTCAAAAATATAGGTCTGGGGTTGGAGAGAATCTTAAAAAAAGCGGAAAGATCAGCAAAATAAGAAAAAGCGAAAAATATCAGCAAAATAAGAACTGCAAGAAAGTGAACATGATTTTATAGCTTGAAACATATCCTCAAATTTGAATCAGAACTTTTTGTTTCAAAATTTAGATGGCAAAATAATGTTGGACAATGTTGATTTATAGTAATTATACCCCATTATGTTTTTGACCCGTCAAACCGCCAGTCCGTCCGTCAGTCCTGTTCTTGTCATTTCAACTCCTCTGAAACCACACAACAGAATTTCATGAAACTTTGTAGGTAATAAGGACATAATATGTAGATGTGCTTATCGACAGGAAATTATGATTCAATTTTTGTTCTAGCAGTTATGCACTTTTGAACTTAGAATTTTGGCCTAAATATTCTACTGCAAGAGATTGTCATCGCAACTCCTCTAAAACCACACAACAGAATTTCATGAAACTTTATAGATAGTTAGGACATACTATGTAGACGTGCATATCGATAGAAAATTATGATTTGATTTTTTTTCTAGCAGTTATGCCCGTTTAAACTTATTGGCCTCAATATCCTACTGCAACAGTTTGTCATCGCAACTCCTCTGTAACCACATTACAGAATTTCATGAAAATTTGGAGATAATAAGGACATACTATGTAGATGAGCATATTGACAGTAAATTACGATTCTCTTTTTATTCTAGGAGTTATGCCCTTTGAACTTAGAATTTTGGCTTATACTACTGCACCAATTTGTCATCGCAACTCCTCTGAAACCGCACACTAGAATTTCATGAAACTTTATAGACAGTTAGGATATATTATGTAGATGTGCATATCACCTGGAAATTACGATTCAATTTTTATTCTAGGAGTTGCGCCCCTTTGAACTTAGAATTTTTGCCTAAATATATTACTTCAAGAGTTTGTCATCGCAACTCCTCTATCACCACACACCAGAATTTCATTAAGTTTGTAGATAATAAGAACATAATATGTAGATGTGCATATCCATTAGATTTTTTTATCAGTTAATTTTTGTAGGAGTTATGAGTCTTTGAACTTAGGAATCTGGTGAGATTTTGTTTGTTCAGTGACAATGTGGGGTGTGGGGTATGTCAGCATGCTAACAAAGGTTCTTTAATTCGAATATTTGAAATTGTTTCATTTATATATGAATTGTCTTGTTTCAGGAATGTTGAAGCTCAGAGAGAGACAGAAAGAAAAAGGTAAACATTAATTTTAAGATATATGCCAGCCTCAAAGATTTTGTTGAATTTTATAAATTATATAAATTGTGTAACCAGCAAAACAATTTTCCAAGCAGAACTTACTTTTACAATGTGTGATCAAAGTGGTCATGTCACCCAGATACATAGTGATCCCAAGTCCTTAAGCTTCCATTTGATACCAAAATTACCCAAATAGTTTTACTTATTGACAAAGCTATAGATATGCTTTAAATAGGAACTATTTTTTTGTAAAATATGTACTACTTTCTTGTATGATCCTTTTGATCGACCTGAATTAGTGGTTCTATACCTCATAACACTTTAAAGTGATCTGAAATAGGCTACTAAATTACTATCTGTAATCATTGCTTATTACAACATGTAAGTGTTTAGTTTGATAAAAACAAAGGCAAACTTTAAAAAATATTAACAATATAAGATATTAACATATATCCATTCCATAAAAAGTAACCTTTTTTGCTTTTTTAGATTTCCATGTGATTCATGCCAAAATAGAAGAATTAGCATGTACACAAGATGGAGTCATCCCTAAAAATATACTTGGTAAGTTCATTTGAGCAAAATATTACAACTTTACTTGATTTGTAGATTTATTTCTAGAAAAAAAAATGAATATAGCACAAAAATTTTACTTGATATCAAGCAATACAGGCTACAAAGCACCATGAGATTACAATTGAACACACAAAGTATCTGTACTGGTTCCGTTGACTTTTTGACTTGACAAGATATTTAGGTAACTACATTAAAACTAGTAGTCTCCAGTATTCTTATTAATTTGATATATAAATATACTAAGATACCTGTTTATTGTTAAAGGCGTAATGCTTCCCTTTAGTCGTCGTTTAGTAATTTTTGTCATTTACTTGCTGTCTCATTGACATCGACCGTATTACCCCACTTCCTTTAATTTCAAGTTGAAAAAATATAAAAGGACCACACATACCATGTATACTAGTACAAAATGTATACAAAGTTGGAAAATCACTACATGAAAAAGGAAAGTAAGAAAAGAACTGCACTTTTGTTGTTCTTTTTCATCTCTAAGTCACAGTTTGTTATATACAAGCTAAGAAAGAAAAAAAATAAGGATTAAGGATGGAATTATATTTTCATAAACTAGTAAAACATTTACTGAGACAATAAGTTTATGCAGTAAAACAATGATGGTGCAATGTTCTCTGCATGTGGTAACACCAGAAAACATTTTTTAATGAACTCTGAGTTTGTTTTTACAAGGCCCCTTTATTTAGTTTTATAGGCCTTTGCAATGACAGAAGTAGGTTAATATTATACAATATATTCTGTGCTAAAGAAAAATGTGTTTGGGTGCATTTTACAGATATTAGATACTCCCTCCCCCTCCACTATTTTACAAGATAACTGAAAAGTTCTGGAGCCTCTCATTTTGGAAATCTGAATGCAATTAATTATTGTTTTTATGTTTGTGTTGTTTTGGTTGTTGTATCATGAACACATGTTTGCTGTCAGAAGACGAAATAATTTACGGTTGACCTACTTGGAAGGCCAGCCACCATTGATTCAGACAACATAAAAAGGCGTGTTATAAAACTCCATTTAAAACTTATTTATTGACTTCATTTTATCAATTTTTAGATTTTATAACCATGATAACTGAAATTTTTTTATAAAATATACGATTTTAATTATTGGAATCTTTCGTCATTTGTCAGTACTTACAAATATTCTACAAAACACAAGGGAGAAAGAAAGTTTTCCAATACACTAATAATGCACAATGCACCGATAAAAAACTGTTTTACATGTTTTTTGGATGGCAGGATATTCAGTTTATTTAAAAACCATTGATTTTTAACATTTTTTATATGTGCAGCAACTGGTGGAAACTCAAAAAGACCTTTATATTTAAGAATGAATACATGCATGACCAGTACTCTGTTCTTGTTTCACTTGCAAATTTTAGATATATTAATAAAAAAAATTTGTGACAGACATTCAATTTTCTCTTCTCACGTCAAGAAGCAAGACCATGTTGATTGCGTACAAGTTAGCTTATATTTTATCACCAGATGGCGATACACAACCTTGTACACACTTTTTGTGCATATCCTATGTCATTAGCTTATAATTCAGTGGTGTTTGGTGGTTGGTGCCTGTCATACTTAATTTTCGTATATTATTTAAAGTCATATGAAACTTCAAATAAAAAAAAAATGATGCATATGTTTTTTATAACTAAATGGCTAGTTTTTATTATAAAACTTATGTACATATACTTTTTTCTGAAAGAAATTCTTTAATTTGTCCAAATTTAAAAGAAATTAACTTTTTTTTAATTGTTGGCTTCCAGTCAACAATTCGCAGACACGTTTTCCGTATGCAGTTACCTCAGCGTGAACTTTCTCGTAAAAATCCGGTGATCGCATTTACGCAAGAGCGAGGGGGAAAACCAAATTGGCAGTGAGAGTCAACAAACGTAAACATCCCTCCGTCATCGAAATAAACTATATCTTATTGTACCTGTTATACACGTGCTTACCTGAATATCCATGCTTCTTTGTTGATTGTTTACAAAGGTGACAATCGGTAAACTTCGGCTTCAAAACACGACCATTAATTAGCTGCTATATTTTCACAACAACACTGACCGAGTGAAATATTTTTTTGACGATTATACGAAATGGATGCTTAAAAAATGATAAAATCGTGCACAGAAGACTAAGGTTATGATATATGCATGCATTGGTTCAAGAACTGGATTAACATTATTTTTCACCAGTCACTCGTTTCTTATTATGACTTTAATCATACAAATGTTCATCAAACTGTTATTTTCTTGTCTGAATTGTTTTATAATTTGCTGTGACAAAACCTTTTATAGCTTACTATATGAAACATTTAAAATTGAGAAAAATTGACGGGGAATGCGTCACAGAGACAACAACCTGATCAAAGAGCAGATAACAGCCCAAAGACACCAATGGGTCTTCAACACAGCCGAGAAAATCATGCACCCAGAGGGAAGCTTCAGTTGGCCCCTAAACAATAATGTATACTAGTTCAGTAAAAACGGACATCACACTAAACTCCAAAACATATAAATGAACCAAAATTAAAAAAAACATACAAGACTAACAAAGGCCAGAAGCTCTTGACTAGGGATAGGCGCAAAAATGTGGCGGGGTTAAATTGTATGTTTTACTTATTGTTGAAGTCCATACGGTGACCTATCGTAGCCACCATTCAGGTGATTTGGTGTTTCAAATACGGTTGATTCAGTGTTTGTGGCAAAAGATTGGGGTGAAAAATGGCAATTTTTAAACGACAGCAAAAATTTTGCAGCAGTATCAGGTAAGATGGTTTGACATTGTTGTCAACGTCATCTTACGACATTTGGTTCTAGACAATAACTTGAGTTAAAATATTTTGTGGTTATTGTCCTTACTGTTTAGGAATAGGGGGCCAAAAACAAGAATGTTTCCTGTTTCAGGACAATAACTTGTGTATGAGTGCATGGATCTCTTTGAAATTGTACCTCAAGATTCCATACCTCAAAAGGAAGGTTGGGATTGATTTGGAGGTTATGACCCTAACTGTTTAGGAAACAGGGGCAAAAAACAATACTTTGTTAATACTTTGTATAAATTGCTTATTTCTTGACCAATGTCTTACTTTCTTACTGACTGCCTTATACGTCATTGGATTCTTGGTATTCTTTAATATGCTAAATCTAACAATGTATAATTTTTTTTATTTTTAGGCACCGTTTTCAAATTGGTCCACATTAAGTGCAAATGGTCCAAAAATTAAACTTTGTTCGATTAAAAAAAAAATGAATTCTTGAGGATTTTTTTATATGCTGAATCTAACTGTGTATTTAGATTTTGGATTTTGGGCCCTGTCATCAAATTTTGTAGTCCAAAGGATGTAAAATTAAACTTTATTTGAAATCAGCAAAAATTGAATACTTAGGGTTCTTTGATATGCTGAATCTAACCATTAAGATTTCGGATATTGGACCATAATAGGTAAATGTCCAATTTCAAATTTCAAAGTTCTAAGACCACATCCATTCTGTGTCTGAAACCTATGCTGTGTCAAATATTTAATCACAATCAAAATTCAGAACTGTATCAAGCTTGAATGTTGTATAAAAATAAGAAGATGAGGTATGATTGCCAATGAGACAACTATCCACCAAAGTTCGAATAAAGTGGATGCAAGCAATTATAGGTAACCGTATTGCCTTCAACAATAGTGGGCTATAAAGGGCCCGACATGAAAATTATGAAACAATTCAATTGAGAAAACAAATGGCCTCATTTATAACAAAACAATTAACGAAAAACTAATTTGACAGACATGAACCAACGACAACCACTGAACTACAGGTTCCTGTCTTGGGACAGGCACATAAAGAAAACATGTTTGTGAGCGCTCAACCCTCCCCTTAACCTGTGACAGTGGTGTAACAGCACAACATAAGAACAAACTATAAAAGACAGTTGAAAAAGGCTTAACTCATCAGATTAATAAAAAGAAGAAAAACATCAAACATCAACACAGACTGGACGTGGCAGGGTATTTATCCATCCCTCATCCCTAACAACAAAAAGGACACTAAGTACAGATCTTGGAGTACTAGCAGTTACTTGTGTCCATACTTGCCCCAAATGTTCAGGGTTTGACATCTGTGGTCGTATCAAGCTGCGTCCTGCGTAGCATTTTATTTATATATATATTTATTTTTGCAGGGCAGTTTGAACGACGCTTGAGGCAGTGGAAAGAAGATGATAAAAAATATGTTTGTACAGCAGCAGAAAAACAAGTAAGAAAATGTATTTTGACCGAAGGTTATGTAACAATTGTTGGAAATTCAGGCACTGGAAAAAGTTTCCTTGCATGTCATGTTGCACTGTCGATGATGGAACAAGGCTATATTATAATTCCATGTGATAACCCTGGAGATATTAGACAATTGTTTAAACATGGAAGGAAAACAGTATTTGTCTTTGATGATGTCTGTGGGCGGTATACACTGAATCAGCAGATTTTCAATGAGTGGACACAAAGGCTTGTACACATTCAATCTCTTCTTGAAGACAACTGTTGTAAAATTATGTCGACATGTAGACTAGATGTTTATAAAAGCGAACAACTCAACAGTCTGTCTATTTTCAAAGCATGTACTATTGATTTAAGCTCAGAAGAATTTAGACTTAATACGGCTGAAAAATTTGCTCTTGCTGAAGTGTACTTTAAGGACAATACTGATAAAGTTGCGGAGTTGTCTGAAAAATACGATTTTTTCCCACTTTTATGTAGTTTATATCATAAACAGAAACTCCTGAAACATGTTAACATAGAAGATTTTTTCAACAATCCTTTTAGAGTTTTTGAAAATGAACTTGTGGAACTGTATCGAGTAGGTAAGGCCGGTAAGATCAACTATTGTAGTTTGGTCCTGTGTGTGGTGTTTAATAACACATTGACAGAAGAAAACTTCTCCACAAAAGATAAAAAGATGGCGGCAGTAATGGATGATTTACTTGAAGAATGTGAACTGAAAAAAGGAACACCTGTCAAAAGTTTAAAGAAATCCCTTGACACACTTGATGGTACATATGTTGTCAAGGAAGATAGTACATATAAAATAATCCATGATAAGTTGTTTGATATCCTGGCCAAGAACTTTGGGGAAAAGATGATACAGCTCTTCATTGATTATGCTGAAACTGCCTTCATTAGTGAGAGGTTTTTATGGAAGACAACATACATGGGTACAGAAATAGAGTTTGCCATCAGAATACCTAATAACAAAATCAACAGATATATAGAAAGACTGCTGAAAGATTGGGGGAATGGTTTTGTAGAAGAGGTATTTACAAACAGAAACATGAAATCATCTTCCTTCACAGAAACATTTATAAACAAAATAAACCAACTTGATCATTGTAAGCAGGAAGAATTTGCTGCAACACAAGATATAAACAGTAAAGATATTGCACTTAGAGGAAGTTGTTTTATGGGTTCTGTTGATCTGGTCAGATGGTTGATTAGTAGGAAAAGTAATATTAATCATTGCTCGAAGAGAGGTTACTCTGCATTATTTTATGCAAGTCAGGGAGGACATGTTGATGTTGTTAAAGAACTGTTACAACATTTAGCAGAAGTAAATCTATTTAAGGATAATGGTGTATCACCTCTGTTTATAGCAAGTCAGGGAGGACATGTTGATGTTGTTAAAGAACTGTTACAACATTCAGTAGATGTAAATCTATTTAAGAATAATGGTGTATCACCTCTGTTTATAGCAAGTCAGGAAGGACATATTGATGTTGTTCAAGAACTGTTACAACATTCAGCAGAAGTAAATCTATTTAAGGATAATGGTGTATCACCTCTGTTTATAGCAAGTCAGGAAGGACATGTTGATGTTGTTAAAGAACTGTTACAACATTCAGCAGAAGTAAATCTATGTAGGGATAATGGTGCAACACCTTTGTTGGTAGCAAGTGGGAAGGGACATGTGAATGTAGTCAAAGAACTGTTACAACATTCAGCAGAAGTAAATCTATGTGGGGATGATGGTGTATCACCTCTGTGGGTAGCAAGTGGGAAGGGATATGTGAATGTAGTTAAAGAGCTGTTACAGCATTCAGCAGAAGTAAATCGCTGTAGAAATTATGGTGTTTCACCTCTATGGCAAGCAAGTATAAAAGGACAGGTTGAAATTGTCAAAGAACTGTTACAACATTCAGCAGAAGTAAATCGATTTAAGTATAATGGTGTATCACCTCTGTTTATAGCAAGTCAGGAAGGACATGTTGATGTTGTTAAAGAACTGTTAGAACATTCAGCAGAAGTAAATCTATTTAAGGATAATGGTGTATCACCTCTGTTTATAGCAAGTCAGGAAGGACATGTTGATGTAGTTAAAGAACTGTTACAACATTCAGCGGAAGTAAATCTATGTAGGGATGATGGTGTATCACCTCTGTGGGTAGCAAGTGGGAAGGGATATGTGAATATAGTTGAAGAACTGTTACAACATTCAGCAGAGGTAAATCGCTGTAGAAATAATGGTGTTTCACCTTTATGGCAAGCAAGTATAAAAGGACAGGTTGAAGTTGTTAAAGAACTGTTAAAACATTCAGCAGAAGTAAATAAGTGTAAAGTTAACGGTGCATCACCTCTGTGTATAGCAAGTCAGAAAGGACATGTTAATATTGTTAAAGAACTGTTACAACATTCAGCAGAAGTAAATCTATGTAAGAATGATGGTGTATCACCTCTGTGGTTAGCAAGTGGGAAGGGACATGTGAATGTTGTTAAAGAACTGTTACAACATTCAGCAGAAGTGAATTTATGTAAGGATGATGGTACATCACCTCTGTCTATAGCAAGGCAGAATGGGTATGGTAATGTAGTTAAAGAACTGTTACAACATTCAGCAGATGTCTCAGCAAAAGTGACTCTAAAGGTAGAAACACATTGAAACAAATACTTTCTAGAATTGCAAAACAAATGTAATACCAAGTAATTGAATTTGTCAAAATTAGTTATCATTTGTAGTAGCTATCTTTATTGACTAGTAAAACCTAATACTAGTAAGTTATTTCTTAGTAATTGATAGAAGTTTAAAGTAATCGGTAATTTTGTGTAATCAATATCACTAATTACAAGTAATATTTTGAGTAGCTCCATGTAATCATGTTTGGTAATTTACAGTAAATACAAGTAATGTTTAAATACTATTAGTGATTACAAGTATTTTTATACGTAATCATTAGTAATAACTAGTTATATCACAAGTATTTCAAAGTAAAAACCCATGTAATCTAGAGTAGTTGTGTTAATTATATGATTATACCCTTTTCATATCAGTCAGTACAGTTTTTTTCGGATGAAAGTATATGGACTGAAGACGTCAGCATACCTTCATGGGTCAATATAAACATGTATTTTTCTGATACGAACAGGCAACAATTGTTTCATTTTAATATCATATTATTCAAAAGTTGTCACTTAACTTTCATAAATGATCATTCGTGTATAATTTATTGTAGTCCATATCTGTTCTCATTTGGTGTTATGTTCAAAATGGGCTACTTCCTCAACCACTTTTTGTGCAGATACAGCAAAAGGTGTAAAACTTTCAAGTTCAAATCTGAACATGCTGAATGCGTTCCCGTTGTTTAGAATTTTCCTCAGAGTTCGGTATTTTTGTTATTTTACTTTTAAATCTCATCTGGCCTGAAAGGCCATGCGAGCTTTTGCGACCCCTTTGCCTCTTTTGTCTGTCTGTCATCCGATGTAAACTTTTTCTCATCTGAAACCACTGAACCAATTTCAACCAAACTTGAACTGTAAAAATGACCAGAACAATAAGATCTACTAATAAGTCAACTTAGCAGAAACCATGAAATGACCCCCTCTTGGACTTATTGCCTATAAATGATGATTTTTACAAAAAAAATTAAGAAACTGTAGTTGATAGAGAGAATCGTTTGATAGGTAAAATGTTCTATGATATACAAATAAGTCAACATGAATGAATCAACCCCTCAAAGGAGTTATTACCCTTGAAAGTCTTATTTTACTCATTTTTTTGCGTTTTTGGCAGAGACTATAATAGTTAAAGAGAAATTGTTCAGGCAAAAGTGTTCATCAAAATAAGATCAACTTGACCATTATTATCAATTGACTGCTTATTGGAATTATTGCCTTCGAAAGAAGGATTATATCATTTTTTTTGCATAAACTATTATATAGAGAGAGAAATTGTAATTAGCAAAGGTGTTAAGCACAATCAGATCTACAAAAAAGTCAATATAGCAGAAATTGTCAACTAACTCCTTTCAGGTGTTATTGCTCCTGAATGACTATAATTACCTATTATATGGATCGTTTTTTGCGTAACCAAAGATAGATAAGAGAGCAATGTTCAATATACATTTCAAAAATATTCAGCACAATGGGATCTACAAATCAGTCTAAAATAAATGTCAAAACTGGCATATTATTTCAAGTGAGCGATACAGGCTCTTTGGAGCCTCTTGTTTAAAACCACTTACAAAAGTTGAAATGAAAGCTTAATTTTGGTTGGCTGAATCTCGAATTGAATGTTAGCTATTTAAAACGGGAATTCATTAATTTTTTTTGGTAATATGAGTTAACGGTCAAAAAGTGATTTTTAATAACAGAAACTTGACATGAAATGGCAAATGACAGCTTTTAAATAATATGATATTATAATAATCCAAAAAGTAAAATCACAAAAATACTGAACTCCGAGGAAAATTCAAAAGGAAAGTCCCCAATCAAATGGCAAAATCAAAAAAACAAACACATCAAACGAATGGATAAGAACTGTCATATTCCTGACTTGGTACAGGCATTTTTTATGTAGAAAATGGTGGATTGAACCTGGTTTCTGGTTGAACCAAGAAATTGCAAATAATAGAAAGTAATTATTTTCAGTAATTCAAAGTAATATCCTAAGAAATTGCAATTAATCAAAAGTTTGATACAATTAGGAATAAGAACATAAACTGGGTGGCTAAAAATCAAAATAATGTGTCTCTTTAGAGTGACATGTCTAAAAACAAATCCTACTAACTATTGGTTTTATACCCTATGAACTATCAAAGAAAAGACTTGCAATTAAAAAAAAATGACTCGGCTTGTTGGTCTTGTATGAAGCAGGGTTTATTTCAAATTATGTTCTCGTCCTGATATGCATGTACATTTAACACCAATTCTTTCATCTATCTATCCGTAATCAGGAACCAACAATTTGTAAATACTAGTATGCTGAAAACAAATGTTAATTATTCAATATATCACTTAGCTATTATATTGTTAAATCAAAGTGTTCAAGAACAGGGCTTCAACAACATATGGTTTTTTTTTCGTTACAGTTCTATTTATTGACTGTTAGCATAAACATTGCTCAAGTATCAATGCATGTTGAAATGAAATCTTCATTGGATATTAAAATTTTATATAAGAACTTTTAAAATTGTCGATAAATATTAATCATTATTAGAAATTGTCAATTTTACCTAAGCTAAATGATGTTATTAAAAAAAGTACTTATTAATTCTCCATATATTCATGCATGGTTGTTCCATGATTATTTATTCCATGATTATTATTGTTGTTCCATAATTATTGTTGTTCCATTGTTGATATTTATATATCTTTGCTTTTTGTATATAAATATATATTTGTAATCCTTCAGTGTTTATGTCATTTTATAATGATCTGTAGTTGTACTTTTGATGTCATTTTATTATTGTACATATTGTATTCTTGTAGTAGGAACATATTTTTTTGATTTGAGATGAAATAAACTTATGAATGTCATTATAACTTGTTTAACACTTTCATACCTTCAACAAATAGTGTTCTGATAGACTTTCCTCCTTCAACCAAAACCATTGATATAAATAGCTATTTTGAATTTTATTAAACTGTTTTCAAGCGTTGAATAACTTTCTTGTCTAAAGAACTGTACAAATGTGTTGAGAGATTTATAGAATATATTTGGTCCTCTTCAATATTGTTGAAAATCGATCATTATTTATGAAAAGTTAATTATTATGAATTCTAAACATTTCAGGAAGTGGGCATCCTTTGCCTTGTTCACAATGACATTTGTGTATGAATTTTCATTTGTAGTTATTTCAATGTATAAATAAAATATATATTCTAACATGACGTCCTTCAAACGCTTTGAGTACACATCCGTGGTAAAATATGAATATATTGCCTGGGCTGTTCCAATCGTACTCCCACGTCATATGCTTTTTTTTATGAATAAGCTTCCCGACGTCATAGAACGATGACGTAAGAATATAAGCATTTTACGGGAAAATACACGCTTGTGAAACCGAAAATCATTGCAACAAGGAAACGTAAACAAACGATGCTAAAATGTGTTATATGCCATATTATTTTATACATTTAAGATATATAGGTAAATTATCATTTAAATTCATCCAAAACTATCTAAATACGTTATTGTAGATAATTTAAGCATGTCACTAATTCAGTTAGCTCCGTTCTTTTATGCCAATTTAATAGTGCGTTTATTTATGGGAACGGCAAATATTTGCCTCACCTAGAGCGCTTCGATCCAAAATAATTGCCGTATTTGTCCTATTAGAATCAAAATAATTTTCGTATTTCTTAAATATCACCTTGCTTTGTATATAAAGATGTTCATTTTTACATTTAACATGAAAGAGATCATTTAAGTAGTGTTTGTTTTGCTGATTTAATATCATTTTATTCTTTTTCATTTAACATTTAATTTATTCTATATGAAAAAATACCTTGTTCTGAACATGCATGAAATATGTTAAGCAACCATCAACCAATCAATCAATGAAATAATACTAGACAAGTATAAACTTGAAGATATGATTTTCTGATTAACAAAATTCAATACGGTGTAGATTTTTGTCAATTGAGGAAAATTTTATGTTGATATCTATTTGACTGTTGGTTTCTTAGTGTCCTTGTGTTTTGTCTCATTGATGTACAATATTATCTATGTTCATTTAGATTAAGACTACATGTTCTAAAAATGTTCAGTGTATAAAAATCATCTACATTTGTATTGCTCATTTATTTTTTTATGATAATGATTTCAAACATGTGTTCTTTTTAAAGAGGCAGTGTCTGCAAAAGCCGTCAATTTTTAAAGCAGTGAAAACTTTGTAAATATTAATGAAAAAATATCTTTCCTGTCATATATTCAGGACTGTAATGATTGTAAATAAGGATGTTCTCTCCTCTGTTTCAACATAACATGCATTTTGTTAAAGCTGTTATAAATTGATTTTTGATACATTTAATGTTGGCACTTTTATTCTTTCAAAAACAATGAAAAAAATAACAAAGATTTTATAAGATTTTCAAAATTAGCATTTTAAACTATATGTTATAAAATTATTAAAAACAATTAGGGGTTAGCGGGCAAAATGTTTATTAGAACTATATGGATAATATTTTAGAGTATTCTGAATATCTTACAAATAGTCAAAAACAAGACAAACGAAAATTCTTACGATGAAAAAATAAATTATCTGTTAGACCAGATGTCATATATTATACCAAATACTCAAGTAGGAAAAGTTATGGTAATTTTAATTTTACTTCAGTATTAAAATTTAATTCATTTCATTAGCCTGATTTTTGTGAAGATTTTCAATAATCAGTAAGTGGAATTATTTCACTTTTAAGAGTATTGTATGTAAATTGATAGGTGTTTTTATGTAGAGTTATTGAGGTGCAGAAGGGGGTATAGAACTGTTTTAAATTCCTCATAAAATTATAATGAAATATATTGAAATGCTATTGTTAAAATAAATGAATAAATCATCAATAATCCAAAAAATAGTTGCTTTAATGTGTGCCTGCTGTAGCAATTACTTGTTTGTTTATTTTTTGTCATTTGATTACAATCCGGCGGTGGCGGCATATACTATTTGTGTAAAGATTTATATTAGAAGACATTGATGCTTCATTTATTGTACGTATATGCCTTATGTTATGAAGTTTCCATACGTCCTATGACTTTTGTCTTTGGCCTCATTTTCATGCTTCAATGACTGCTTGAAAAAACTGAATGGTTTCGCCTGTTATGAAAGCAGCAGTATGCAAGCCATAGGTATTACAAACTGGCGGCGGCTGCAAAGGCATAAACTATTTGTTTTCAGCTTTATATTTCAGAAGGTACAATAACCGGATGCTTCATGCCTTGTGTGCGGATCCATTATTTTTTTTGTAATTTATTTTTATTTTATCTGAAAAAGCACCAAGCATTGTGATACATGAATACATAGATAATTTATAATACATGTATTAATATTAAATTTTTTAATAACAGTCTAAAGTTAAAAAGTTAAAAATGCTAATTTTTTATTATCTATATGATAATTATCTATTAGATCATACTCATCATTTATCACTCTGGATTAGAGTACATGAATATGTTGATATTGTTAATGATGGCATCAGCCTTCTCCTCTTGCCACATCACTGTCAATACTATGATGTTGAACGTGAGAGGTACCAGGAGAGGCCACCAGAGATTATTAACAGATAAGGGTCAGACAGGACATGTTGGACAGAATCACAAAATAAATAACAACAGTAAAAGACAACCTAAGTCAAGGGGAGATAATTCAAATACAATCAAGCAAAAACAAGTGTATCAATATATATATAACAATATCAATAAACATCATAGATAGCACTTTTATGATGCACACAAATCACTGTCCAGTTGTGATGCGCATCAACAAATTATTAATTCTACATGAATTATTATAAAGCCTAAAGTGAGTACAAAAAAGAAAGATCTCTCCTCACATGTAAACTAAGATTTTAATCAATTCCCATTTACTATCAAATTTCTCTCTTGCTTTAGGGGATCTGTAAAAGGAGGTAGATATTTTTTCTATTTGGTAGGAATTTTTAATCATAGCTATCGCCCCTGTAAGAGTCGGTAATGAAGTGTTAAAGCGACATGTATAAATATAATACTTAACCAGAATAGTGAATAAGTTTAGGGAAACATCCCAAGACTCTGACCCAAGAACAATTTCTTGTAATTGTTAGTTTATCCCTTGAGTGAATCTTTGACCCAATCCATATGGCTTCAGTTTTATCAAAATTAGCCCTTAGTCCAGCACACTCAGAGAATTTTTCTAAAGTATATAAACATTTTTCTAAAGATTGCTCATTCTCGTCTAATAAAAGACATGAGTCATCTGCATACTGGCTTAGTAGATATTCTGAATCATTTATTTTCATACCATTTATCTCCGGGTTATTTTTAAGTGCAGCGCTCATAAGTTCTAAAGATAATACAAAGAGATAAGGAGATAAAGGATCACCTTGTCTAACACCCCGACCAATATTTAAAAATTGAGAGCAGTGTCCATTGTTTATAATACAGCTCTGAGATTCTGAATATAAGGTCTTGACCCATCTACAAAAAATAGGACCAAATCCTAAAAAAGACAGAGCCAAGTCTATAAATGACCACTCAAGGGTATCAAAAGCTTTCTTAAAATCTAATAAAAGTAAAAGACCTGGAAGATTATCATCTTCTGCCTTTTCCATAATGTCAAAAATAAGCCTTGTACATTCTCCAATATACCTTCCCTTTATGAAACCTTGCTGTGTTTCACTGATTATATCCCCAAGAAAAGGTTTTATTCTATTTGCTAAAGCAGCTGATGCAATTTTTGTATCAACATTTAATAAAGTGATAGGTCTCCAGTTTTTTAATTGAAATTTTGATTTACCCTCTTTTGGAATGCATGTTATAACTCCTTGTTTCTGACTAACAGAAAAAGTTCCAGTTTCTAAGCTATAATTAAAAGATTTTATAATAAATTCATGGAGGTCTATCCAAAAGAATTTATAAAATTCAGTTGTAAATCCATCCATTCCTGGAGATTTACCATTTTTCATATTTTACAATGTTTTTAAGCATTCATTAGCATTCAAATTACCCTCTGCCTGTAACCTCTGTTCATCAGAGTGTTTGCGGATAAACGGATGATTTTCATCAAAAAATAGATTTTTATGTTCTTGATGAAGAATAGGATTTGTTGAGGAGTACAATTTTTCATAAAATGATTTTTGTTCTTCTAAAATTTTGCCTTGATTAAAAATTTCCTCTCCATTATCCTTAATTAATTTTGGAACTATTTTCTCATTATAATTTCTTTTTTCAAGATTACAAAAATAGTAAGTACATTTTTCACCTTCTGCTACCTATCTTGCCTTTGCTCTTGCCATAATACCTGTTACTATTTTCTCTCTGTGATGAACAAGTTCTTCTTCTAAAATTTTAA